GATCCCACAGCGTGCTAATTTTCACATTTTAATTATAAATGTTGGTTAAAATTGTCAAGTCGCTGATCACCGCTGAGAGGTCGGTCAATGTTAAGTAATAACTGATAATTAGCAAAAGTCTCTGCTTTACCTGTACCAGCCTTATGAGACCATGAAATCAGGTTATAGCGTAAATAATCATCAAGAAGATAGATATTTTGAGTAGAAAATAAAAGTTTTCAAAAACTTCAGAGCAAAAATTGAAGAAATAGATCGCAAATAGGTTGTATATACCCATCGTCTGTGTACGATTACTTTACCATTAAAGTAATGATTTTTTTCATTGGACGAGAAGAATAATCTATTTAAAAACGACCAATGAACGTGATGAATACACATGATAAATTTGAATACACTTTTACTAAAGATATATTTATACGTCAAAAAAGTAAAATAAACTTTTATTAAAGATAACGAGGAGTGATTTTTTTTAATAGAAAGTGAAAATTGTTGCTTGCAAGTAAAATTCCTTTCTCAACTGTCAAATAATTATTGAACATCGATCATTAATTCGTCTAATCGGAAAATATATGTGACACTCAACACGGGTATGGAATCGCTGCAGCATCTATATAATGTCACTAGTAAATAATTTTACTGGTCTTAACCTCGGTGTCTTAACTTTGACGAAATTGTCAAGTTTTGTTTACATCTACTGCCAATTGTTTTGACAATTATACACACGGAAGTGTAATGTCAAACTACAGAAACTGGTCAGCTGTTCATTACAATCTTTTTGTTTTAAAAAGTTGTATACCAAATATCTTAAACATATTCAACTTTAATGCTGAATTAACATGTTCTCTGCAAAAAAGAAAGGGGTTAAGCGAAAGGCAGATGATGGAATTAGAACTTTTTTCAGACCAATGACTTCTAGTGAAAAAGAGAATACACCTCCGTCTACACCGTCAGTATCAGCAGAGGTCAATACTTCTCCTAATCCAAAGCGAGCTAAAGTTTCAGAAGAACAGGAGGATTTTTTCTTGAACTATATATACTTTTGACTTATTTAATTGACTGTGATATAAATGCTTTTTGTGTTTGAAATGAATTTATTTCATTTATATATATTCTTATATTATTTATTAATACTGTGCATTATTAAACACATGTCTCAAAGCATTACAATTCATATTGTATATCATGATTTATGACTGATTGTTTCAGGTCACAATAGTTCATTCTAAAAAAGAGTAACACGCCCTTGAAATTTTGCGCCTTAAAAATTTTCTGGGGAGAACACTGAGTGTGGACATGGCATTAAAATGTACAAAGTTTAACATCAATGTACAAATTCTGAAGACAGAATGAACCCACCAAACAAAAATCCACAAAAACTTAAGGTAGAAATCTAAGATAAGAATACAGCCCTGTAAACGATTACTGGTATAACAAAGTCTGATGTTTAAGAATACTAAGATTGAGTTCACATATTTTCATATGTTTGTCTTAAGTCAGGAACCTCATCATTACTTTTCTTAATGTTTGTTTCTGTTCAATTTATTCTTATTTATATAGTCTGGGAACAGTGAGAGCATGTCATATTGTTTAGACATCTGTCTACTGTTGAAGAATGTATATTATAAAATAACAAATCAATGGGTAAAGATGAACTACAAATTTAAAATATTATATGAAGTACAAATTTAAAATATTATATGAAGTACAAATTTAAAATATTATATGAAGTACAAATTTTCCATAGGCTTGTAAGCAAAATGGAAAAGCAAAAATATTTCAGGGCAAGGGTGGCTCTATTTTTAATTCTTCAGAAAACTGTCATAAATTTTGCTAAATTATGCAAAAAATCAGGTGTTAACAAATTCACCTACGTCTGTGACATCACAAATACATAACTAATGACACAATAGGCAAAAATCTTTCATTTATCTGAAATTGGGCTTTTCAACATATGTTTTCATAAAATTTTTACGACACCTTCACAGTTAAAAAAATTCAAATTTTTAGGGCCAACTCCTTTCAATGACCTTTTACTTATAGTATCTAAGAAACAGACTTAACCAGGGAAATTAAACATTGACCATTGAACAATAAAAATAAGGGCAAGGTCAGATGAACCCTGCCAGATAGACATTTACACCTTACAATTATTCCATACATCACATATAGCTGACCTATTGATTACAGTATATGAAAAGAGGATCAAACCCATGAAAACCTAACACTGACCAATGAACCATGAAAATGAGATCAAGGTGAGATGAAGCCTTCCAAATTTCCAGGTACACTTTACAGTCATACTTTACACCAAATATAGTTGACCCATTGCTTTTAAAATTAAACATTGACCAATAAACCATGCCATGAAAATGAAGTCAAGGTCTGATGAACCCTGCCGGACAAACATTCACACCTTACAATTATTTCATACACCAAATATAGTTGAACTATGGCTCATAGCGTTTGAAAAACAGACCAAAATACAATCACTTAACATTGACCAATGAATAATGAAAATGAGGTAAAGGCCAGATCATATCTACCAGACAGACATTTACACCTTACAATCATTCCATACAACAAATATAGTTGACCTATTGCTTATACCCTTAGTATTAGAAAAACAGACCAAAACATATAAAATCTGTACATTGACTAATAAACCGTGAAAATGAGGTCAAGGTCAGATGAAACCTAACAGACTGACAAATACATCTTACAATCATTCCATACACCAAATATGGTTGACCTACTGCTTATAGTATCTGAGAAACGACCTAATCACATAACTTTAACCATGATCACTGATTCATGAAATAAGGTCTAGGTCAGGTGAACCTACCTGACGGGCATGTAAACCTTGCACAGAATCCATATACCAAATATAGTTATTCTAATACTTAAAATAAGTGAGAAATTCACATGACAAATATAAAACTTTTTTTAAGCAGTGACTGATGAAAATGAGGACAAGGACAATGGTTACATATTAAAGGTATCTGTATACAAGGTATAAAGCATCCAGATCTTCTACCCTCTGAAATAGTTTTATACAAATAGTTTACACCTCTCTGCCGCCAGATAGTAATCCCTATTTCTCTCATACTGAGACTTTCTTTGCAGGTGAGACAAAATACTGGCCTCATCATGGAATCTTGATAAATAAAAATATTGGTCAATAGGACACCATGCCCTGCTTACAATATCTCATTTCCATGTTCACTGAACTGTGAAATCTTACTCAAATCAAAAATTTAGCATATAATTTAATAATTTCACATGATAATAGATATATGTACAAAGATTCAAATTAATATGACCATAACTTCATGTTAAACTGCCTTCACCAAAAACTTTAATCTGATTCCAGTGGGAAGACAAGAGGCTGTCGAGTGACAGCAAACCGGATTTTCCTGCAGAGGTTGAACCCTGAACAGTTGAGCAAGTATGGACACAACATTTAAGCTTAAAACAGCTCTGAATTTGGATTGTGATTGAATATTTAAAATAGATTATTATCTAATTAAGAATGAAAATAATACATTGTATTTGCAAATCTGAACCCCAAACAGGATCATGTAAAAATTAAACATTAACACACACAACAAAAATAAAATACCACATAACAACTGTGACATCTACCTTCATAACACACATGACCTAAAAAAATAGTTATAAAGAAATTTTGATGTTATTATGTGTTCATGGAATAAGTTTGAGTTATTTCCCTTTGAACAGAAATATGGTTTAACATAGTACTCTAATATTAGATATGATTAATAGTTCTCTAAAATTAGATATGATGTAACACAATGTATATCTATTTTCAAATATAATTAATAGTTCCAAATATTTTTTCTTTCATTTGTCACAAACTAATACAGATCTGCAACTTATCTATGATCAATGTCAACAACTTTAAATGTAATGAACTATATCCTATAATAAAAATAGATTATTATCTAATTCAAGGAGTTCACTTCATAAAAAAATAAATATATATATATAGCATTCAGAAAATTAGTTTATACAGAATAACAAACAAACCTAACACAAAATTCTTCAAACAATTTACCAAAGAAAAGAAAAAAAAAATCCAAAATGTCATTTATCATTAATACAATGTCTTTTAAAAATCTTTTAAAAAATGAGTTATTTCCCTTTGTACAGAAATGGATTAATTCATCAAAAATTGAATTCTTGGGAAAGGGCTATAACTGAACAACGAGAAAAGCTAAAATCGTGAAAATTGAACTTGACCTTCATTAAGTCACAGGAAACAACATACCTAAATTTGAAAAAAAATTCTTCAAAGCATTATTATGTTAATGAACAGACACTGTTTGGCAGCCGCCAGCCAGCCCGCCCGCCCCCCATACATTCCCAAATCAATAACCGATTTTTTCTTCGAAAATCCGGTTAATAAAACAGAGATAGATGCACAGAACATCAATATCATAGTAATAATAATCACCTGTAACTAGGGCAATGCTAAGCATAGTTCAAATTCAACACAATGAACACTTCACACCAGTTTCGAGTTCAATAGCAACTATTCTTTTACAGTTAACTTTAAATTTCTTTTACACAATGACATCTCCATAAAATAAGAATTAAGAAGCGCATGGGGTTGCTATGCTTTTTATCAATTAAAAACATAGACTTTCTCTACCTTAACCTTTTCTGAATTTGACCCTTTACACAGTATTTTTTGAAGAATTTTCTGTTAAATATGATCAACTAAAAAAATGGCAAAGAAAATATTTCTAAATATAGTTAAGACTATTACCTTTTAAAACTTTGGATAAGAATACCAACATTTCCACCAATAGTTACCATTAAGCATTTCTTCTGAAGACCCAAACCCACACCACTATCAAAATATGACCAAAGAGCATTGCTTACTTCAAGCACATTAGATTTGATGGCAAAATATATTTTGTTGCTTGTAAAACTGACCACATAATCAGCAGAAAAAATATTTTAAAGATAAAACTGACCTCATCTTCTTCCTCCATCTCCTCTTCATCCTCTTTGTCTTTCTCTGTTTCTGACTCAGATTCACTCTCTACTTCTTCTTCATCAATCACTTTGTCAAACGCATGTGTTGGGAAATTGTAAATATCACCATACTATAAGAAAAGATATCAAAATGTGAAAGTATGGTTTGGGAAATTGTTAATATAAAAAAAATTAAAATATAGATAACAATATCAATTTTAATCCCAACGTGTTCATGTGTCTTTCTGGAACCTTGTCAGAGATTGCCTTTTATTCTATTCTTAAATTTTTGTAATTTGGAAATTAGGTATTGATGTCAAATCATTTATAGTCAGTTAAATTTATTCATAATTTACTTTGGACTATTTAGAGCTTGACGAAGCTAGATGTATTGTATAGACAACTGTCTATTGTTGAAAAAGGTATACTGACCTCTAGAAGTCTTTAAGTTTTTAGTGTCACTGAGTTGCTATAGCTAGTCATTGTCATACGGTATAGCAGGTTTTTTTTCGCGGGTGTTGAATATTTTGGCGGATACTGAAATACTGTCAAATATTAACTAAAGCGTCTCAAATTTACTTTTTGCTAGTGGAAGTTCATCTTCAAGGTAATCAAATTGCAAGCAAGTATATTTATTGTCATTAACTCAAACAAGTGTCTATTGTTATGGTTAAAAGATTTTTTTTTACCTGAATGATCAAGAGTGACTTACAACTCTTATATAATTAGACACTTATTAATAAGGGTAAAATATCTGACAGATTACCAAGCACTTATATTATTTAACAATAACTAATAAGGTTATGTACAATGCAATTTTTATATAGTAGTATTTATATCCTGAAATCTTAACATACCAATTTGCGCTTCAAACTTCTCTCATTCGATGAGAAAAACAGCAAAACTAGCCTAATTTTAATATTTAGATCAAGTCACATGTAAACTGTATCCATTAGTATATTTTGCTAAACCATGACTTAAACAAACATATTAATGTCGTATCATTTGGTAAAGCACCAACATAAATAAAACTGCACACCTGGATCAACTGCTATTACTGCTCATCATAAAAATATTCAAGATGACTTTTACAATTTCATGACCTTATACATAGATCATGACCCACAAATCAACATGAAATGCTAGTCCTTTCTATTACTTAAGATAGTGATATTAACTTAACATAAATGGCTACTTAAAAATGCATTACATTCTATTATTAATTAAAGATTATTGTAAGATATATACTCACTGTTCCCTGTTTTAATCTTTCTAGTAATTCTTTTTCAATGGCTGTGTCTACTTGTGCTGCTACCAATGCTTTTTCCTACATCCAACAGAAATATGAAAATTAACAAAGTCCTTAATGAGTTGATATGTGTCCTCAAAAATACTACATGAAGTATAAATGTACAACAAAACAATTTATATATATAAAGTCCTGCGTAAATATTACATTATCATTTCTGTTTTAGTATAAAGTTGAAATAAAATCTTTTCTTTTTAAACAATACAAAAGGTGTTATGTCAATAGATATAAGTGGGTGCCAATATTATTTACCATGTGAAAAACAAAGTCCCTAGGGGGGAATTGAAAATTATCTCTTTGGATCCATCTTTAAATTAGCAAATAGCAGTGATATATCAAGTATCAGATGAAATATTATTATTGAAACAATAAATGTTTAGAGCCAGGCTATCTGATATATTTTTTCTATCACACTAATTAACTTCAAGCTGGATACATTTTTAAATTATACATAAAAAATATAAACTCAATTATATTAAAAAAGGAAGATGAAATAATCAAAAACTTTAAATTACAATAAGTCCCTCCAAAATTTTCTTGCAGTCAAGGCCTTTACTTTTTAACAAAACATTCTTCTTATAAAAACTACTTAGGAATTACGAACCATTCAATAAAGTTATATCAATTTCAGTCATTAAATTTTTTGTGAAAAGTTTAACTCAAAAGAGGTATTGTAAGTTGACAGAGAACATTAACACTTAGTTGTATTTTTTTGGGTAAAATTCAATAAGGGAGATAATTCAACAATATCTTTTATTACCTCTCTCCTTTTTTCTCGTCTTTCTACCTTCCTACTTAATGGAACTAACTTCTTTCTGAAAAAAAATAAAAACATTACCTTGCATGTTTTATGTTAACATGTTATCATTAGAATTACTTATTCAACTACTACAATAATCATGATAATGTAGGTGTGGTTTTATCCAAAATCATATCAATGACCATAAACCAAACGCATGTAATTATGTAACTTAAAAGAGAGGTCAAGACAGAAAAAATATTATGTAATTTGCAAATTTCACAAAAAATCTCCTCAATTAAGTAAAAAATTGAACTCTTTTATATTATTTCAATGCAAAATGAAAGGTTCTTTTGTACAAAATGAAAGGTTCTATTGTACAAAATGCAAGATTCTATTGTACAAAATGAAAGATTCTATTGTACAAAATGAAAGGTTCTATTATACAAAATGGAAGGCTCTATTGTACAAAATATAAAAGATGTACCCTCCTGGGATCTACTGCTCGATTTGCTTTTTCAGGGCAGAAGTTTGAAATCAGACCAATCAGAATCATATTTGAATAACAAGAGGAGTTTCTATAAAAGATCCTAGAGACAATTACTACTGCTCAATATAGTTCAGACCGACCAATTGGTTTCAGATAAGAAGTGTCTTGTCTGACAAATCATCATTAATTTTGAACATGAATAGGTCAAAGGGAGATAAATCAAAAGTAATTCATGAGTATAAAAAATCTCAATAATACATGCAGGGGTTGCTATTTCTTTTGTATAGTATGGTACTTATCCAAAATTGTAATAAGAACTTATCTACACATTCTAAGAATTCCTGACATGATAATTACTTGCTTAATGTTGGTAGGTAAAAATCAGTAATTTAGAAGGGTAAAAGTACTCAGCTACTACCTCTAAATGAAAGGCCAGTAAATATGAGCTGCAACATCGATCTGTTGGACACACTCTACTTATATATCTGAGCCATAATTGGTACAGGTACTTTAAAAAAAGGTTGAAACATTTTTAAAGCTTAGTTTACCAGTCGATGTTGGAAGCAAAATTGAAATTGAAATTATTATCATATCTTCATATTTGGCAATATATAAAGGTAGGAAGAACTACATTTTAAATCACTAAATGCGATTTACAGAGAGTATTAAACACATCACTGAGACCAACCCAACAACACAAAACACTAGAAAAGACTAGTAGCAGATGTCAAATCTGTCTTTTATAGCAGTTTTTTTTTATTTCAAGCCATAAGAAAACTTTTAAGAGCTAATCATTATATAAATAACACATAGCTGAGAGGGTGATAGAGCAGATTGTTTCCCCCTAGATGACAATGCTTTTTCGAGGGTACTGATCTGCTCTATCACCCTCTCAGTTATGTGTTATTTAATTTATTATACTGAATGTTCAATCATTATTGTCTTTTAAATTTTAAATTGAAAGTACTTAACTTTGACCGTTTGACATGATGTACATAAAGTTACAGTAATTAGAAAAACAACAAAAGTGAAGGAAGATGTATTTTTTTATTTTGACAGTCTAGGAAAAAGTTCTGAGGCCAAAACATAGAACTGTAGCATTGTCTTTTAAAATATTGGTGTGAATTCACTTCATTGTCCTTTAAATTATTGATATTTGATTGGTCCCCAAGAGGGGGTGACATTCCAAAAATGGCCCCCCGCTGAGTCATGGGATAGAGTAAATTATCTCCCTCGTAACCAATCACAATCTGACATTTTTATGTGAAGTATAATAAATATATATATATGCTGTGGTAGCCATCTTTGATTATGATTAATCCTAATTAATACTTACTGTCTTTTTAATGTGAGTTTTCTTATCTTTATTAAATACTGTGTAATCTTTGTAAATCTCTGTTTACATTTATGTTTAAGAAATCTGAAAAAAGGAAAAAAAACCATATAAATGTGAATCTATCAACCCTTATCTAATATGATGAATTGATGATCAGATTCGAGTGGTTCACATGATGTACATATCAAGATGAGACAAATGTAATACATTGTTGTAGTTCTTCTTTAGAACACACATGGATTAATGATTGGGTGTTTTCTTGTTCGTATTGAGTTACGTTTTGTCATGTCGCTGCCTTATATAGCTTACTACAAGGTATATGAGTTTTGCTTATATTTGATGGCCTTACGGTGACTTATACTTTGCTAACTTCTAAGTCATTTGGTCTCTGGTGGATATATGTTTCATTGGTAATTAAACAACATATATTCTATGTGTCTTCCACAATACATGACGGTGGATTTAATTTACACTCATGCGCATCAATTAACAAGCTATTACAAAACTTGCAGGATCTGAAAAAGTTCTGGACACAGCACAAGTAGTTAAATTATTAGGCTTGTGTTGGAATACAGATCATAATACACATAAGTATTCTGCAAATATGCTAACCACAGAAATTGTCATTCAAATACATATATGCTTTGTCCACAAACAGAAAATTACAAATTTAACTTTGAACTTTTACATTTTCTCCATGTAAAGTTCATCAACAACTGATGTTGAGAGGTCCATACAGGTCCATAGTAAGGCAGAATATTTTACCTTACCTTGAACCTCCTCTCACACAACCTTACACTTGAAAATAAATAATAGTCCTATGTCTTGAATGGCAATAAAATTATAGTATAGTGGTACAAATAACCCTGGAAAACAAAATGTGTGACAGACAATCAACTGGACAAAGCAATTACCGAATACCTTGGACCTTTCCTCTTTGTAGTATTAAGATAGTCCATATTATCATTAACATAATGATATAATATTTTAAATTTCTGAAGTTATTATACTTTTGATGAAGCAATAGAAACTACTTGTATATTAATACATGTATATAACTACTTATAATAGATGTTTCATTAGGATTTCATCATTCTGATTGGATGCAACAATCACATGGTGTATAAAAATGATGTTTTATGTCCATCTGTCGAATATCCACTACTGCAAGAGCTCTCCGTGACTTTACAATGATGCAAAGGATTATTTAAAACAAAACAAATCAAAATGTAGATTTGTCGTGTAAATTCCAGGCTTAATACAGATTGAGAACGTGTTGACCACTTTAAAATGCTTATAAAACTACAAAAGAAAGAATTGAATTGTTTTAAAGTAGTCTTACTTTGGCCAGTATATCAAATGATGGTTAATCTGTTCTAATGCTTTCTCATAACTTCTGGACAACTTGACTTTCTCCCACAATCTTCCAGGAAAAGCTGCTCTTTCTACCGTCTTCATGTATAGATAACAGATACCTAAATACAAAGATATTAACAATATTGTATATATGTAATAATTACATGCATCAAGTTATTGTATTTTTTAATAAATACTAGAACATCTAGAACACTTATATTGCTAATTTGTTGTTGTATCTACAAAACAGTTCAAGAGAGAACCATGAAAGTTGGTACCATTATTAGGTTGAAAAGAACATATTCTAATGCAATTTTATATTGATGGATCCGACTGTATAACCAAACAAGAGGTTCTCAAGAGCCTGAATCGCTCACCTGCATTTCAGAGGAGAAGATTTTTAAATGTAAGCAAACTTGATGAACAAATTGTGTAAAATTGTCTTTAAAGGGCAATAACTCCTTAAGGGGTCAATTGACAATTTTGGTCATATTAACTTTTTTGTAGATCTTACTTTGCTGAACATTATTGCTGCTTACAGTTTATATATATTTATAATAATATTCAAAATAATAACAAAAAACTGCAAAATTTTGTTAAAACTACCAATTCGGTGGCAGCAACCCAACAATGGGTTGTTTGATTCGTCTGAAAATTTCAGAGCTGATAGATCTTGACCAACTGAACAATTTTACCCCATGTCACATTTGCTCTAAAAGATTTAGTTTTTGAGATATAAGCCAATAAAATGCTCCGCAGGGCGCAGCTTGATACGACCGCAGAGGTTGAACCCTGAACAGTTGGGGCAAGTATGGACACAACATTCAAGCTTGATACAGCTCTGAATTTGGATTGTGATTAAATATTTGACACAGCATAGGTTTCTGACACAGAATGAATGTGGTCTAAGAACTTAAAAATTTTAAATTGGACATTCACCTATTATGGTCCAATATCCAAAATCTAAATACATGGTTAGATTCAGCATATTAATGAACCCCCAAGAATTCAATTTTTGATGAAATCAAACAAAGTTTAATTTTGGACCCTTTTGACCTCAATGTGGACAAAGTTGATAACAGGGCCCAAAAATCTAAATACATGGTTAGATTCAGCATATCAAAGAACCCCATATATTCAATTTTTGTTGAAATCAAACAAAGTTTAATTTTGGACCCCAATTTGGACCAACTTGAAAACTGGGCCCATAATAAAAAATCTAAATACATGTTTAGATTCAGCATTCAAAGAACCCTAAGAATTCAATTTTTGTTAAAATCAAACAAAGTTTAATTTTGGACCCTTTGGACCTTAATGTAGACCAATTTGAAAACGGAACCAAAAATTAAGAATCTAAATACACGGTTAGATTCAGCATGTCAAAGAACCCCAATAATTCAATTTCTGTTGAAATCAAACAAAGTTTAATTTTGGACCCCGATTTGGACCAACTTGAAAACTGGGCCCATAATCAAAAATCTAAATACATGGTTAGATTCAGCATATCAAAGAACCCCATATATTCAACTTTTGTTGAAATCAAACAAAGTTTAATTTTGGACCCCGATTTGGACCAACTTGAAAACTGGGCCCATAATCAAAAATCTAAATACATGGTTAGATTCAGCATATCAAAGAACCCCATTTATTCAATTTTTGTTGAAATCAAACAAAGTTTAATTTTGGACCCCGATTTGGACCAACTTGAAAACTGGGCCCATAATCAAAAATTAAATACATGGTTAGATTCAGCATATCAAAGAACCCCATATATTCAATTTTTGTTGAAATCAAACAAAGTTTAATTTTGGACCCCGATTTGGACCAACTTGAAAACTGGGCCCATAATCAAAAATCTAAATACATGGTTAGATTCAGCATATCAAAGAACCCCATATATTCAATTTTTGTTGAAATCAAACAAAGTTTAATTTTGGACCCTTTTGACCTCAATGTGGACAAAGTTGATAACAGGGCCCAAAAATCAAAAATCTAAATACATGGTTAGATTCAGCATATCAAAGAACCCCATATATTCAATTTTTATTGAAATCAAACAAAGTTTAATTTTGGACCCCGATTTGGACCAACTTGAAAACTGGGCCCATAATCAAAAATCTAAATACATGGTTAGATTCAGCATATCAAAGAACCCCATATATTCAATTTTTGTTGAAATCAAACAAAGTTTAATTTTGGACCCCGATTTGGACCAACTTGAAAACTGGGCCCATAATCAAAAATCTAAATACATGTTTAGATTCAGCATATCAGAGAACCCTAAGAATTCAATTTTTGTTAAAATCAAACAAAGTTTAATTTTGGACCCTTTGGACCTTAATGTAGACCAATTTGAAAACGGAACCAAAAATTAAGAATCTAAATACACGGTTAGATTCGGCATATCAAAGAACCCCAATAATTCAATTTCTGATGAAATCAAACAAAGTTAAATTTTGGACCCTTTGGACCTCAATGTGGACCAATTTAAAAACGGGGCCCAAAATCCAAAAACTTAATACACGGTTAGATTCAGCATATTAAAGAACCCCAAGAATTCAAGAATAAAACCCTATTGAAATTGATCAAGAAATAAGCAATTTATACGAAGTATCTTCTTTTGCACAATACTGTGCAATTGAATATTTCTTGCTATTGCGCAATACTGTACAATTGACAATTTCTTGCTATTGCGCAATATTGTGCTATTGGATATTTCTTGCTATTGCGCAATACTGTGCAATTGGAGATTTCTTGCTATTGTGCAATACTGTGCAATTGAACATTTCTTGCTATTGTGCAATACTGTGCAATTGAAAATTTCTTGCTATTGCACAATACTTATTATATAATAATTTACACATTCTGTTTGGTGTGTATCTCCTACCATATCATTATTATTTGCTTTTAAATATAAATCAGAAATAACCAACTTAAAATGGAAAAATTTTAAAAGAAAAAAAAAGGAAAAAAAGAAAAAAAAAGAAAAAAAAAAAAATCCCCCCCCCCAAAAATTTTTTGAACCCCCTTATGATTCATCACCCCCAAACTCAATCCCAGCCTTCCCTTTGTGGTATGGTATCTTGCAGTACAATTTCAGAGAGATCCATACACTTGAACACAAGTTATTGTCTGGAAACTAGAAAAATGCTTATTTTTGGCCCCTTTTTGGCCCCCAATTCCTAAACGTTTCGGGCAATTACCCCCAAACTCAATTCCAGCTTTCCCTTTGTGATATGGAACCTTGTAGTACAATTTCAGAAATATCCAAACACTTACACACAAGTTATTGTCATGAAACTAGAAAAATGCTTGTTTTTTGCCCCTTTTGTGGCCCCTAATTCCTAAAATTTTGAGGCAATTACCCCCAAAATCAATAACAGCCTTCCCTTTGTGATATGGAACCTTGTGGTACAATGTCAGAGAGATCCATACACTTACACACAAGTTATTGTCTGGAAGTTACAAAAATGCTTATTTTTGGCCCCTTTTTGACCCCTAATTCCTTAACTGTTGGTACCATAACCCCCAAAATCAATCCCAACCTTCCTTTCGTGGTATAGAACCTTATGGTAAAATTTCATGGAGATCCATTCACTTAAACTAAAGTTAGAGTGCGAAAACCAATGTGTCTTCGGACAACGCCGGACGACGCCAACGTCATACCAATATACGACCAAAAAATTTTTAATTTTTGCGGTCGTATAAAAACTGCATTTGACCCTTATGTTCTATTTTTAGCCATGGCGGCCATGTTTGTCGATGGATACAAACTTCGGATACAATTTATAAACAAGATACCCTAAGGAACATTTAGTTAAAAGTTGAGGGTAATTGGCCCAGTAGTTTCAGAGGAGAAGATTTTTAAATGTTAGCAAACTTGATGAACAAATTGTGTAAAATTGTCTTTAAAGGGCAATAACTCCTTAAGGGGTCAATTGACAATTATGGTCATATTTACTTTTTTGTAGATCTTACTTTGCTGAACATTATTGCTGCTTACAGTTTATATATATCTATAATAATATTCAAAATAATAACAAAAAACTGCAAAATTTTGTTAAAACTACCAATTCGGTGACAGCAACCCAACAATGGGTTGTTTGATTTGTCTGAAAATTTCAGAGCTGATAGATCTTGACCAACTGAACAATTTAACCCCAGTCACATTTGCTCTAAAAGCTTTAGTTTTTGAGATAAAAGGCAATAAAATGCTCCGCAGGGCGCAGCTTGATACGACCGCAGAGGTCGAACCCTGAACAGTTGGGGCAAGTATGGACACAACATTCGAGCTTGATACAGCTCTGAATTTGGATTGTGATTAAATATTTGACACAGCATAGGTTTCTGACACAGAATGAATGTGGTCTAAGAACTTAAAAATTTTAAATTGGACATTCACCTATTATGGTCCATTTCCAAAATCTAAATACATGGTTAGATTCAGCATATCAAAGAACCCGAAGAATTAAATTTTTGATGAAATCAAACAAAGTTTAATTTTGGACCCTTTTGACCTCAATGTGGACAAAGTTGATAACGGGGCCCAAAAATCAAAATACATGGTTAGATTCAGCATATCAAAGAACCCCATATATTCAATTTTTGTTGAAATCAAACAAAGTTTGATTTTGGAGCCCGATTTGGACCAAATTGAAAACTGGGCCCATAATCAAAAATCTAAATACATGTTTAGATTCAGCATATCAAAGAACCCTAAGAATTCAATTTTTGTTAAAATCAAACTTAGTTTAATTTTGGACCCTTTGGACCTTAATGTAGACCAATTTGAAAATGGAACCAAAAATTAAGAATCTAAATATCGGTTAGATTTGGCATATCAAAGAACCCCAATAATTCAATTTTTGATGAAATCAAACAAAGTTTAATTTTGGACCCTTTGGACCTCAATGTGGACTAATTTAAAAATGGGGCCCAAAATCCAAAAACTTAATACACGGTTAGATTCAGCATATTAAAGAACCCCAAGAATTCAAGAATAAAACCCCATTGAAATTGGTCAAGAAATAAGCAATTTATACGAAGTATCTTCTTTTGCACAATACTGTGCAATTGAATATTTCTTGCTATTGCGCAATACTGCACAATTGACAATTTATTGCTATTGCGCAATATTGTGCTATTGGTTATTTCTTGCTATTGCGCAATGCTGTGCAATTGAAGATTTCTTGCTATTGCACAATACTGTGCAATTGAAGATTTCTTGCTATTGTGCAATACTGTGCAATTGAAAATTTCTTGCTATTGCACAATACTTATAATATAATAATTTACACATCCTGTTTGGTGTGTATCTCCTACCATATCATTATTATTTGCTTTTAAATATAAATCAGAAATAACCAACTTAAAATGGAAAATTTTTAAATGAAAAAAAAAAGGAAGAAAAGAAAAAAAAGGAAAAAAAAAAATCCCCCTCCCCCAAATTTTTTGAACCCCCTTATGATTCATCACCCCCAAACTCAATCCCAGCCTTCCCTTTGTGGTATGGTACCTTGCAGTACAATTTCAGAGAGATCCATACACTTGAACACAAGTTATTGTCTGGAAATTAGAAAAATGTGTTTTTTAGCCCCCTTTTGGCCCCCTATTCCTAAACGTTTCGGGCAATTACCCCCAAACTCTATTCCAGCTTTCCCTTTGTGATATGGAACCTTGTAGTACAATTTCAGAAATATCCAAACACTTACACACAAGTTATTGTCAACGAAACTAGAAAAATGCTTGTTTTTTGCCCCTTTTTTTGCCCCGAATTCCTAAAATTTGGAGGCAATTACCCCCAAAATCAATCCCAGCATTCCCTGTGTGATATGGAACCTTGTGGTACAATTTCAGAGAGATCCATACACTTGAACACAAGTTATTGTCTGGAAACTAGAAAAATGCTTATTTTTGGCCCCTTTTTGGCCCCTTATTCCTAAACGTTTCGGGCAATTACCCCCAAACTCAATTCCAGCTTTCCCTTTGTGATATGGAACCTTGTAGTACAATTTCAGAAAGATCCATACACTTTCACACAAGTTATTGTCATTAAACTAGAAAAATGCTTGTTTTTTGCCCCTTTTTTGGCCACTAATTCCTAATATTTTGAGGCAATTACCCCCAAAATCAATCCCAGCATTCCCTTTGTGATATGGAACCTTGTGGTACAATGTCAGAGAGATCCATACACTAACACACAAGTTATGTCTGGAAGTTACAAAAATGCTTATTTTTGGCCCCTTTTTCCTTAACTGTTGGTACCATAACCCCCAAAATCAATCCCAACCTTCCTTTTGTGGTATTGAACCTTATGGTAAAATTTCATAGAGATCCATTCACTTAAACTAAAGTTAGAGTGCGAAAACCAACGTGTCTTCGGACGACGACGATGCCAACGTCATACCAATATACGACCGCATAAATTATTGCAGTCATATAAAAACTGCATTTGACCCCTATGTTCTATTTTTAGCCATGGTGGCCATGTTTGTTGATGGATCAAAACTTCGGATACAATTTATAAACTAGATACCCTAAGGAACATTTAGTTAAAAGTTGAGGGTAATTGGCCCAGTAGTTTCAGAGGAGAAGATTTTTAAATGTTAGCAAACTTGATGAACAAATTGTGTAAAATTGTCTTTAAAGGGCAACTACTCCTTAAGGGGTCAATTGACAATTATGGTCTTTTTTACTTTTTTGTAGATCTTATTTTGCTGAACATTATTGCTGCTTACAGTTTATATATATCTATAATAATATTCAAAATAATAACAAAAAACTGCAAAATTTTGTTAAAACTACCAATTCGGTGGCAGCAACCCAACAATGGGTTGTTTGATTCGTCTGAAAATTTCAGAGCTGATAGATCTTGACCAACTGAACAATTTTACCCCCATGTCACATTTGCTCTAAAAGATTTAGTTTTTGAGATAAAAGGCAAAAACTGCATTTGACCCCTATGTTCTATTTTTAGCCATGGCGGCCATGTTAGTTGATGGATCAAAACTTCGGATACAATTTATAAACTAGATACCCTAAGGAACATTTATTTAAAGTTTGAAGGTATTTGGCCCAGTAGTTTCAGAGGAGAAGATTTTTGAAATAGTTTACGACGACAGACGACGACGACAGACGACGGACGCCAAGTGATGGCATAAGCTCACATGGGGCCCTTTGGGCCCCGGTGAGCTAAAAATGGGGAATGTGTCCATGGGGCACAGATGATGCCCCCGCTTGCATATAATGTTATAAAGGGATATAACTCAAGAACTGTAAAAGTGACGCTACCCAAATTTGTACTTGATCTGACTTTTGTGGTAATAAGCATTGTGTATACGTTTCATAACATTTAGTTGAGGCAATCTAAGTAAGAGAATGGAAACTTTTCCATTTGTAGAGGGGCATAACTCTAGAACGGCAAAAGTGACACCACCAAAATTCAAACTTGATCTGTGTTTTATGGTTATAAGCATTGTGTATAAGTTTCATAATATTTGGTTGAGGCAACCTAAAGTTAAAGAAAGGAAACAAAAAATTCAGCAATTTTTCCATTTATAAAGGGGCATAACTCTAGAACAGTATAAGTGATGCCACCAAAATTCGAACTTGATCTGTGTTTTGTGGTAATAAGCATTGTGTATAAGTTTCATAACAATTGGTTGAGCCAAACTGAAGTTAGAGAATGGAAACAAAAAATTTAGCAATTTTTCCATTTGTAAAGGGGCATAACTCTAGAACGGTTAAAGTGATGCCACCAAAACTCAAACTTGATCTGTGTTTTGTGGTAATAAACATTGTGTATAAGTTTCATAACATTTGATTGAGGCAAACTAAAGTAAGAGAAGGGAAACCAATTTTGGGACGTACAGACATACAGATGGACAAGGGTAAAACTTAATGCCCCCTCCGCTATGGCTAAGAACTGTTAAGTTACCTTCCATGGAATATTTAATACATGAAATGTTTACATCAGATTAATGACTAAAATGGAATTATTACTTTATTTTGATTTAAATATAGAGATAACCTAAGTATATTTTAAGCTTGGTTTTGGTAAAAGTATGTTTTACTGTTGCAAACATCTGTTTACCTTATTCTACTACATGTCACTAGGAAAACTTCATTTGCATCAGTAAAACCTGCCTTTACCAAGGATTTATATAATCTTACTATATAAATCTTAATTGATTTTACATAGACAAATCTTAAAACAGACAACAATTATTTTCTGACTGTAAATCATCTGTTACACAATCCTGTTAAGCAGTAATAATTACCTTTCTCCTCTCGGACTGTAGCATATTGACTGTTGGCAAGAGGACAAGAAGATCTGTTACATAACCCTGTTAAGCTGTATTCATTCCTACAAAATTTTTGTGTCTTTGCCCTGGAAAAGATAATGATTTTATTTAAACAAGTTTACACTCACAGACATCCAACCAAACAAAATCATCATTGTCTGTTACATTTGAATTCAAAGGTAAATTTCTGTGGTTTCATTTATTTTCATAGATACAAACTTTCCACTAATTGAGAAAAAATTGTATTTTCATGGCTTATTACTGTGCTTATTCAGTAGGCTTTGGTCTATTACTATACCAATTGCTCAAATAGTTTACCAAATTGCAGTTTGTATTCATCTCCACAAACTGATCAACTGGTAAACTATTTCAAGTAATTGTTTCAGTGATAGGCTGTTAGTGTGAAGTGAGTGCAGTGAAAAAAAGTTATACTTACCATTCAACTTTAGTGAATTATTATCTATGTCATGAAATTCAAATAAAATAATGACTTACTATAATATGAGGCACTGGTTTAAAAAGATCTTTAACTTTGACATGAAAACCCCTATCCTAAATAATTTCATAAATAACTAGTTCAAAACATTGTTTTGTTGATCAATAATTTATGGCTTTGTTTTCTAACAGGAAGTTATTGCGTAATTGTAACTTGGATATTTTTTTTTTAAAGCAATTACTGATCTGCTAATAATAAAGGGAAATAATTTACAGGATCTGCTTACCCTTCCAGAGCACCTGAGATCACCTCCAGTTTTTGGTGGGGTTCTTGTTGCTTAGTCTTTAGTTTTCTATGTTGTGTCATCTGTACTATTATTTGTCTATTTGTCTTTTATTTTTGGCCATGGCGTTGTCAGTTTGTTTTCGATCTATAAGTTTGACTGTCCCTCTTTTACATTATAATCAACAAAATTTTGTTCTGTCAACTATCAACTCTTCATATTGACATTTTATAAGTAATTTGTTCTAAACATTATTTCCATGATTTTAAGAGGGTATCACCAGCACAGTAGTCAGCAATTCTGTGTTGACATGAATTATCATTCATATGGTGAAAATTATAAATTAACTGTTTTGCAAAAATTGTTCAAAATACTAAGGATTTTCTTCCCCCGAGGATAAGATTACTTATAAGCAGTATTTGGCAAAATCTTTTGGAATTTTGTTTCCTCAATGCTCTTCAACTTCGTACTTAATCTGGCTTTTCAATTTTTTTATTTGAGCCTCACTGATGAGTCTTTTGCAGACAAAACTTGCATCTGGCATACAAAATCATCAACCTAGTATGTTTGATTAAATTTTACAATGACTGAATAAAAATGATTTCCCTATAATATTAAATCCACAGCATGTTATATTTTAGCTCACAACTTATTATCAATGTCATGATTGATTGATTGTTGGTTGATTAACATCCAGTGGCAAATATTTCATGCATGTTCAGGACGAGGTCAATGTAAAGAAAACAACATATATTCTGACTGTAGGTCTACAGAACTTCAAAGGTAAATATTATATTGTCTACTGCAATTGAGTGTGAAGCATAATTTTATATATTACACATGTACAGTACTTCAAAGCTCAATTTTATAATAACCTTAGTAATGTCAAGACAAATTCAAAACAAAGATATCCAACAATTATGAATTATCAAGAAGTTATATATCCTATAAACAAGGAATTATTTGAATCCAGAATAATTTTGGATACTGGAAAATTGATGAGAAATGTATGATGAAAACTAACCAAACTAAAGAGGGTTAGCATGGTGAAGGTTCATTTTACTTTCACTGATATTTTAGTATGAACTAACCCTTTAGCCATGCATTCATGCATGGCTAACCCTCCTAAATAGGGTTAGTTTTTATCATACATTTCTTTAATATAAAATTTTCAAGAATTCAAATAATTTCTTGTATATTGAAATATAATAAATTGCTTCGCCGAGAGCAGCTGGATACGACCGCAGAGGTCCAACCCTGAACAGTTGGGGCAAAAATGGACACAGTATTCGCAGTTGATACAGGTCTGAATTTGGATTGTAATTAAATATTTGACACATAATAGGTTTCTGACACAGAATAACTGTAGTCAAAGAACTTAGAATTGGTTTATATGATTTGAATTTATATTCAATTTTTTGCTTTTGTGCAATACACTTTGCTGTTGCGAATTGACCCCCTCCCCTTCCCCCCCACAAAAAAAAAAAAAAATTACCCCCCCCCCCCCCTTTTTTTTGCTTTTGAGCAATACACTATGCTGTTGCGTATTGACCCCCCCCCCCCCCCCCCTCACACACCTTTTGTTTCCAAAAAAAAATAAAATTTGAAGAATTTTTCTTTTTAATTTCTGAAATCTGAAATGAGAAAAAATTTACCCCCCCACAATTTCTTTTTACCCCCCCCCCCCTTTTCCCCCCAAAAAAATTTCTTTCCCTCAAGATATGGCCATAATCTCAATTCAAATTTCCAATGGAGTTTGCAACCATCATTACCCATTTAAATACATCATAAGTCTTAAAATAGAAAATGACATACATAATCATGGCTAAAATTAATATTCCTTAATAGTAACTTCTAAAAATAAATTGACAACTAATCATCTCAAGACAATACAACAGTTCTTTATACATAATTTAAAAGCAGTGTAAGGGAGGTAATCAAAATGTTGTGTTTGGATTACCTCCCTTACACTGCTTTTAAATTGTCTTAAGTTATTGTCCATTAACCAGGAAACCCTTGTTTTTCCCCCTTTTTTGCCCCTAATTCCTAAACGGTTTGAGCCATAACCTCCCAAAGCAAATCCTAACCATCCCTTTGTGGTATGGAAACTTGTGGTATAATTTCAGAGAGATCCATACACCGCTCCACAAGTTATTGTCTGGAAACTATAAAAATGCTTATTTGGGCCCCTTTTTGGCCCCTTATTCCTAAACTGTTAGGACCATAACCCCCAAAATCAATCCCAACCTTCCTTTTGTGGTTATAAACCTTGGGTTTGAATTTCATAGATTTCTATTTTATTATACTAAAGTTATTGTCCGGAAACCAGCTGTCTTCGGACGACGCTTACGACAACGAGGATGACGTGATACCAATATATGACGGCAAAATTTTTTGCAGTCGTATAAAAACTATAAAAGTGACATGTTCATCATGTAGGTTAGAAGGGTAATTCAGAAACTGAAGAAGACAAGTGGTCGAAATATCTTAACAAATAGTTTAATTACTACAATAATGATTCAGTAATAGATAAATAATTGAACAAAATATATCTTTTTAATCCATAATTGTTCATTTTTCATGCATAATTTATAGAAACATTTTATGTAGTCTAGATCAAAAGTACATGTAATAGGTAAATTATCAAATCTATCATTTCTATATACATCAAACATCTAAATTATATTGAGGTCAAGAATTGTGTATTGAGTTGTGTATTTAGTAGCATTATGAAATATCTGCTTAATTATGCTGAAGTTCAATAATTTTGTGAATGTGATTGGGATTAAAGATATTGGTTATCCAATTACAGCAGCTTCATCTTGACTCAAATTGTTATTGATCATGACAGTTGTCAAGCATACTGATGTTATGTAGCTAGCAAATTGACAAAACTAAAGATATACATAGTTTTAAACTGCTATAAAGATATAATCCAAATTTTTCACAGTTCATGTGTTCAAAAAGCTATTATGATTGACAATGCACAGTATTACACCCATATAAAGTTTGAAACAAGTTGAATTGTGAACTATTGCTCATTTATGATACCCCTGTCAGTATTTGGTTAACAGGAAGTGGATGAGTGATAGATGTGAAAACGCATCATTCAGTATAGCATGCTTACATGAATCTTGATTCTAAATTTCAGAAAGCTTTGATTTCAATTGGGTATTTTAAAATACTCCTACTGAGGCAGCTTTATATTTATATGTGGAGGAAAAGAATTCAAACTTCATACATTAAAACATCAATCCATTTAGTGCAAGGAGTCTGGTTAGATCCTTTTCACAAACGTTTGGTTCATATGAGCTCTGGATTCCATCAGAAAAATAAGTGATAGATGCTCTACACTTATTAATCATCTTGACTGATTTTAGGTTCACAGGTTTTGGTTTTAAACTAACACACTCCAGATATCTAAGATAGTAGGGCCAGAATAATTTGAATGGTCTTTCCCACTACTATATAATTATATTCAACTGTAAATGAATTACTTACTTTACTTTAAATGAACAAAAGGATCCATTTATAATACTCCAAATAACCTGTAATTAATAAAAGAATCATTTTAGCAAAAATAGTAAATGTTCATAACATCAGTGTTAATCATGCTACAAATGATTAATAAACAATTTCTTATAGTGAAACTACCCAATGTTTAATTATATTATGTTCATAATCTATAATGCAAGCCTATGTACTTAATCACAGAACTGGTATAAAATTTCATTCCAGTGACTTGTATTTTTGGATTTATTTATTTTCATGGTTTAAAGAGAACTTGATAAAATCACCATGACATTACTTTTTCACACATAAAACACAGTTATATAAACATACATGTATATCTTTTTCTAAAACTATAGGATCCAAGAAGCATGTATTGCTCCCCTGACATTTTTGCATAAAATTGATACAATGCATGATCTGTAACAGATTCTCTTATACATTGTAATGTAAAACACAATAAAATGCTCCGCTGGGCGCAGCTTGATACGACCGCAGAGGTCGAACCTGAACAGTTGGGGCAAGTATGGACACAACATTCAAGCTTGATACAGCACTGAATTTGGATTGTGATTAAATATTTGACACAGCATAGGTTTCTATATAAATCAGAAATAACCAATTTAAAATGGAAAATTTTAAAGAAAAAAAAGGAACCCCCCCCCCAAATTTTTTGAACCCCCTTATGATTCATCACCCCCAAACCCAATCCCAGCCTTCCCTTTGTGGTAAGGTACCTTGCAGTACAATTTCAGAGAGATCCATACACTTGAACACAAGTTATTGTCTGGAAACTAGAAAAATGCTTGTTTTTTGGCCCCAAATTCCTAAACATTTAGGGCAATTACCCCCAAACTCAAACCCAGCTTTCCCTTTGTGGTATGGAACCTTGTAGTACAATTTTATAAAGATCCATACACTTACACACAAGTTATTGTCCTGAAACTAGAAAAATGCTTGTTTTTTTGCCCCTAATTCCTAAAATTTTGAGGCAATTACCCCCAAAATCAATCCCAGCATTCCCTTTGTGGTATGGTACCTTGCAGTACGATTTCAGAGAGATCCATACACTTGAACACAAGTTATTGTCTGGAAACTAGATGAATGCTTATTTTTGGCCCCTTATTCCTAAATGTTTTGAGCAACTACCTCCAAACTCAATTCCAGCTTTCCCTTTGTGATATGGAACCTTGTAGTACAATTTCATAAAGATCCATAAACTTACACACAAGTTATTGTCATGAAACTAGAAAATGCTTGTTTTTTGCCCCTTTTTGGCCCCTAATTCCTAAAATTTGGAGGCAATTGCCCCCAAAATCAATTCCAGCATTCCCTTTGAGATATGGAACCTTGTGGTACAATGTCAGAGAGATCCATACACTAACACACAAGTTATGTCTGGAAGTTACAAAAATGCTTATTTTTTGCCACTTTTTGGCCCCTAATTGCGGTCGTTTAAAAATGAGGATAAATTTTCATTCAAAGGCAATAACTACAATGTGTAAGGAGTAAACTAACAATTTTATAAGATGGTTACTCCTCATCCTGTGGTCTCTGGTGAATAGTTGTCTCATTAGCAATCCTATACCAATAACCATATCTCCTTATTTTCATAACTTCTGATAATCATAGTAAAACTAAACAATGTTTAATTTTATCATACTCATCATTTATAACCCTCCAAATAACCTGTAAATAATTCTAAAGTGTTTTTTTTTTCTAGTGAAACTAAGGCATGTCTATTCTTATTGCATCAACAGAGGGGAGTTCAAAATGAAGTCTTTCTGTGATCACCTGAACTAGGCAACTACAATAACTGGTACAAAAGTATGCAGTAATATTGTAATGTTTATGCCAAAATAAATCAGTCATAACTAGATATTATTTTAAATGTGAATACAAGAAGATTGTAATGAAGTGATTAATATATTTGATCACTTTAATTATTTTTAATCATGATTAATCATATTAATGTTAGTCTTTTTTGTTTTATTTTAAATATATTTTTTCAAAAAACTCTGTAGTGACAATCTTCTATTATTACTTCAATGAAAGAATGCAGGGTCGTTCCAAATTTTTTTTCAAAAGGTGGCATAACTATAAAGCACTGAATATATGGCCTTTTTATGGAAAAAAAACCAGATTTTTTTTCAATCAAAGAAGGGTTGTACGCCATCTACATCCCTCCCCATGGGTACACAGACCTTCAGGACATTGTCTTATTACGTTACAAAACTACTACAATACCTATTGTATATATGTTAACCATTATTAAAATACAATCTGAATAATAAAGTCTTGCTCCAGTCATGCCAGTCTTTCAATGGCAATGGGGATCAAAAAAAGAAATTAGCAGAGTGAAAAAAAGAAAATTTACTTGAATAGAGAATAAATCTAGGAAGACATGGCTAAATGAGAATTAAAAGAAAGATAAATCATAGACAGAGATTATGGACAGAGGAGAACCCCTACAAAAACAATGTATCAGTAGTTACAGAAACCAAGAATTTATACTCGCAACCATGGGTTAATGTTCTATACCTCACCAAGCTACAGAAATATCCCCATGTGGAGCTCTAATGAATAGACCTATTATGACAAAATAGGGTATATACACATGTACTGAGAACAACTGACAAGAATGAAAAATTAGATGACTATTAAATGAAAGAAAAAGAAGATACCAGCAGAAAATCAAACAGGTACACTGAGAACAGAAACAAGAAGATGACAAAACAGGCCGGGGGAGGGCAAAAAAAAAAGAGAGACTTGGAAGAGGGTAGTAGACAAAAGTAATGCCCCCCCAGACAGGCCATGGAGCTAACAGAGAACAAAAGTAACTCCCCTCCAAGACAGGCACTGGAGCACAGATGTTTTAAGGGCAGAAATATACGCCAGCGGACTGGTATGTGTTCTATTTTGTGTTTGCGTATTGATTATGATCTATTTCAGAGATCCAACGTACAATGGCTATGCTGTTTTATGTGAGACCATCAATGTATCAACCTTCACTTTCCACAGCTATGAACTTAACATCTCTAATAATTATGAACCTCTAACCCACAACAGTTCATTCAAATCCATTACATCGAACGCTTTCAGTCCACTAAAAGCCAGCAGCCCAAAGAGAAACAACTCCATAAACACCTCTTCACCAAAAAGTAATAAGAACAAAAACAGAACCACCAGCAGTAAATTTTGTATTCAACATACCAACAAAACAGAACTTGAGAATACTAACATTAAATTTTAGAAGCATCAAAGACAAGACTTCTGAATTTGCAGCAGCAGTAAATTATATCAAACCAGACATCATCTGCGGCACAGAATCTTGTCTTAAAGGAGTAAAATCCAGAAAAACCCTACACAAGATGCAATAAAATCCAGCGAAGTATTCCCTGGTATACTATGCAGCTTACAGAAACGACCAGGGTACACTAGGCGGAGGAGTTTTTGTCCTTCTACACAATGACATCATAGCAGTAGAAAAACCTGAACTAGTAACAAAATGCGAGATTGTGTGGGTAAAAGTACAACTGAAAGACCAAAAAGAATTGACGATAGGCTCATTCTACATGCCAAACAGAAATACAGATGATATCAAAGAACTTGATAAATCACTAGACCAGATCTCCAATAAAAACATAAACTCCTTACTTACTGGAGACTTCAACTGTCCAGATATTGATTGGAACACCATGTCAATAAACCATAACGCACAATACAAGGAAATACAAAAAGCATTAACGGAAGTGCTAATATTACACTCAATTTCTCAGATACATGAAACACCAACTAGAGGTGAAAACCTCCTGGACATAGCGTTAACCTCCAACCCATCACTTATTAAAACATCAACAAACGCTCCAGGAATATCTGACCACGACATGATCATAACAGACTGTGATACAAAACCACACTACCAGAGTAAACGGCCTTGTAAATGCTACATATACTCAAAAGCAAAATGGGAAGATCTCCATAAAGAACTGAATATACTATCAACCAAAATCACTGATATGTATCAAAATGACACTACAGTACAAGAATTATGGGACACATTCAAAAAGAACTCTACTCAAATTTGGACAAGAACACCCCATCAAAACTCATCTGCTCTAAAACAAGTCTACCATAGATAAACCACAAAATTAGGAAAATGTTCAAAAAGAAAACCAGGCTATACCAACAAGCAAAAAGAACAAAGAACTAAAAACTGGTCAAACTACAAACATTTCCAAAAAGAATGCAAACGACAAGTCTGAAAGGCTGAATGGGAATACATCAACAACACCATAATGGAAGGACTGGAAAACAACAACCCAAAATCTTTTTGGAAATACATCAAATCTAGAAAACAAGACAACATAGGAATATCACCGTTGAAAAGCAATGGCCATTTAGTGAATGACAGTAAAGGGAAGGCAGAACTAAAACAATTTAAATCAGTATTCACCAGAGACAATGACAAAACTGCCTAAAACATCAAAATACATAAAGAACTCAATCCCATCCCTTGAAATAAAACATGAAGGTGTCGAAAAACAGCTTAGAAAACTAAATCCATCGAAAGCATCAGGACCAGACGGCATACCAAATAGAATCTTCAAGGAGTGCTCCAAATAACTAGCACCAGGACTTGCAATAATATACCATAAGTCAATAAATACTGGATCACATCTCGAGAGCATTCAAAAAGGGGGATAAACAGAAAATTACAGACCAGTATCTAACATCTGTGCCCTGTAAAATACTAGAACACTTCATCTGTCAGCACATGCTAAACCACCTAGACAAGCACAGGGTACTAACATCACTTAACCATGGATTCAGATCCGGGTACTCATGTGAAACACAGCTATTAGTCAAACTGCACGACTTCATGAAATCACACGATGCTGGAAACCAAGTTGATGTTGCTATCCTGGACTTTTCGAAAGCATTTGACACCATGCCACACAACAAACTTTTACACAAACTAGATGAATATGGTGTGAGAGGACCACTGAATAAATGGCTGGAAATGTGTCTCACTCAGAGAAAGATGAAGGTTGTCATTGATGAAGAGGAATCTGAAGAAGCTACATGTACAGTGGACTCAGGAGTTCCATAAGGAACTGTACTTGGACCCCTTCTCTTCCTCTGTCATACCAACGACCTGCCAGATGCAGTAAAATCAACCGTTAAACTTTTTGCTGAGGAATGTCTGCTATACAGAAACATAAAAACACAATGTGACCACACTCTGCTACAACAAGATCTTGCTAGCCTAGAAAAATGGGCCAAAGACTGGGGTATGCGCTTTAATGCAAAGAAATGTTACATCCTGAGCATTAAGAACAAAATCCAGAAATTCTACACCCTTGATGGACACATACTCCAACAAGTCCAACACAATCCATACCTGGGGCTACATATATCGGAAGACCTAAAATGGACCACCCACATTTCAAATGTAGCCAAGAAAGCAAATTCAACACTTGGTTTCTAAGACGCAATCTATGATTCTGCCCTAAGGATTGCAAGAAAACAGCCTACACCTCATTGGTAAGATCCACAATGGAGTATGGGGCAAAAGTATGGGACCCGTATACAACAAACAACATCAACCAACTAGAAAGGATCCAGCGTAGAGCTGCGCTTTTCATCACAGGTGATTACAAATCTAGAGAAGGATCGGTCACCAAAATGCTTACCGTACTGGAATTAGAAAACCTGAAGTCCAGAAGAACAAGCCAAAGACTGGTATTTCTGTACAAAGTGGTTGAGGGTTTGGTCCCAGCTATCAAACCTGAAGAATTTTTGGAAAAAGCAAAACCAAAAGCATTATCAAACCGAAACGATTTGTAGACTTTGAAAGCACTAACATAGTAAACAACTGGGTCAAGAACAACTCAAGGGCATTTGATACAACAAATTGCAAAACCGAGATATTTAAGAACTCATTCTTCGTTAAGACTGTGATCAATTGCCATTGGAACCAACTGGAAGAAGATAATATAGTGTGCGCCAAGTCGGTTGAGAGCTTCAAAACAGCTCTCCAACACTGTCAATAGGTGCTCTTGGTACCTTCGACATAAAAATACATATGCCAGTTGACTGGCATATATTTTCGCCCTAAAACATCTATGATATGAGCCCCTGTGACTTGAGGAGACACATGACTGAAGTAATGCCTCCCACCCAATAGTTTTCATAGCTGCAATAGTTACTTTATATGTAATTTTATAATCAAGCTCATTAAAATTTGTTTCTTTCTCTCGATCATCAGACATCACATATAATAATCTTTTTACGAAGTGGTTCGAGTATTACTATCATTTCCCGTCAAGATGCAAGTCAGTTGGCCTTTATAGATGAAATTAATAAATTTTAAAAGAAGGACATCAAGGTGAAAATAAATATGGCTTTCTTACATCATCATGTTGCATTTTTACAGCCCCTATGTACAACTAAACGTGTTATATGTTACACCACGTGAAAATTGTCAACAGGAAATGAAATTTGGTTTTCAAAGGGAGATAACTCTCATCTGATATGAATATGCATGAGACATTCAGACAAGGAAGTTGAAAAGAAAAGAGAAGTGAAATAACTTTAGAAAGTGTCTAGAGAAGAAAAATGTCTCGTATTTTACCAGATTATAACCAGCTGATGAGGTTCACCATAAATGATGTTTGTAACTGGTTGGCAGAGGTATGCAACATTTTCAGAAGATACAATTTTAACTTTAATTTGCTAAAAAAAAAGTTCACATATAAACTTCATAAGTTTCAAGACTGTGGCAATGCCAACCTTTTTCATTTTCAAGATTAGCTTCTAATCCTGATTGGAAATACTACATTGAAATGAGCACATGTACTGTAGGCAAACCCTAGAAGCATATTTTAGGATTTGTTTTTTTAGCTAAGACCATAATACATTTGATATTCTTGGGGGTGGGGGAGGTGGGCAGGATGATTTTTTTTTCTGGATTGATCTTTCATTTCCATCTGTTTGTACACATTTGTTTCCTGCATTTGGTGTCGCAGAATATTAATTGTCATCATGTTTTTGCAAAGTTATTTATTTTTAGTTCTTAATTTCAAGGCCAAGTTATCAATTTTCACCCCCACTACCCAGATAATCAAATGGCCTTCTCCTAAAGCTGAAACTAAGCCTGCTTGTAAGCTAGCTACTCCCTTAGTTCAGATAAAATACAAAACCTTAGAATATATATTCTTGCTTCAACATTTTCATTTAGTAATCCTTTAAATCAAAATTGAATATTAATAGATTATCCACATAAAAGTAGACAACATGATTACATGTAGGTGGACTTATAGTTATAACTGATGAACCATATGTCCACTTGATTCAGTGCTGATTTTTGATTTGTGCTCCAAACGGAAGACTTTCAAATTCTGGCATTTTCCCGTACAATATAAAAATAAGGAGATGTATACCTATATAATGTCATGACGCTTATGTTAGTACCTCAAAGTAATAATCTATTGTTTAATTATGTCATTTACACCTGTGAAAGGATTGCTAGAGCACTGACTTGTAACACAGAGGTCTTGGTTTCGAGACCCAATGGAAACCAATGTGATTTTCTTATAACAATCATGTTACATTTTTACATCAATTACACAACAATTGACCTCAGGTCAACCAGTGTAACTTTACTCATTCATAAAAAGCAAGCTTGACATTGGTCTATGGGATTACATTTCAAAAATGTATCTAAAGGAGTATTAAAGCTTTGATTTCACTGCTAGCTGGACTACATGTAGAACTGGACTTGTGATATATATTTGATAAGGATACTTAACTGTAAGAATGAAAATTGAAAAGACTTTCGCAGAACCTGGGATATGCTTGACTTGTTATAAGACTTAAGATACATTTTTGTAGATAAGGTGTCGTGTTGCCATCTTTGAATCTCGATTAAAATATGCTAATTTTGAGGGTGCAAAACAGAATAGAATTAAAACAAAAGAAATGAAAACAAAAAGAAATGAAATTGATCAATGAAAAAACAAAAGGAAAGCTAAATGAAATAAAAGTTATCAAAATATTATATCATGATAGGAAAACAAAATATTATATCATGATAAGAAAATATCTATATTTGCTCCTTTCTGTTTAATTAAGGCCTTACCTTGCTGTCATAAAAAATTTGGGTATGATTATTGCACTCAGACTCAGAATTTAACCAATCAAAATACAATATATGTTTTTCAGCTAAGCCATACAAGTGTAAGTGGAGAAAATTGAGATAATCTAATTTTATTAAGGAACTCACAGTAAATTTTTTCCTACCGGTATTTTGTTTTGTAGCAAGAAAACTTTATCCCTTACTCTAATTTTATTTTTTATTTTCTGAAAGCACATTATATGAGCTCTCTTTTCATATTTTATTTTGAAATTCTTATATTTAGTTTTCTTTCTATCTACACAATTTTTTTTATGAATAATCTTTTAATAAATTGACAGTTTTGCACATGACTTGTAGCTTGAAACAAGCCCATACTTTTTTATTATATCTTTGAAAACAGCATGGTACATGTGGTATAAACATCATGTTAACAAATTATTAAGATATTCTACCGTTGTAAATATAGACCCCCTTCGTCCTTCAGTTTAGTCTATAAGCTCACAAACTGTATCTTTTATTTTACATACTAGGTTTTAATAAAAAAAAAAGGATGAAATCTTGTAAGCCTGTCACTGTCACTTGACCTTTACCCCATATTCAGTTTCTAATGGTCTGTTTTAATAAGTTTTCAAGATGAGGTCTGTCCCTCAGCTTCAACTTTTACATGCATGTATATGTATATACATCTATCATTTGACCTTGAACTCATTCCAATGATCCATTAATCAGGTTATTTTATCAATATTAGTTCAGTTTCTCAGTAGCTATGCTTGATACATATAGATTATATATATATATATTGTTAAAATATACTTTTTCACTTTTTTGGTCTTTTGGAAAATGTTGTTTGTGCTGTATTTATACCCCTCTACCAAGAAATTTGTTTTGCATGCACACATCTAAAAATTGCGGTTTTTATCCAACACAATCATAGGTTTGAACGTTGTTTTCAATTTAGACTTGTTTATATTTTTTCGTTTGGGCTTGTATTATATTTTCCTTCGGGTTTATATGATCCGTTCATCCTATTTCGACTCTTTCAAAATTCAAGAGTCTATCCTAAATTGAGGTAAATTATATGGCCTTCCAAATACCATATCAATTCCTAACATCACTGAAGAGACATTAATTGTCGAAATCCAGATATGGTGTACAAATTTTTGCACCTCATGTTTGCGATATACCATCTTTTCCGCAAGTTTATTGTTTTCTGTTTGGAAATAAATTAATAATAAGATCCATTTTGTAATATCTGGTGATCCGTTTATTTGGCAATCGCTAATGGCAGCCAGCAGGGTTTAAGAACATCAGTTGTTCGACCTGCTAGTCAAATGCGTTTTGTTAAAATATACTTTTTCACTTTTTTGGTCTTTTGGAAAATGTTGTTTGTGCTGTATTTAGACCCTTCTACCAAGAAATTTGTTTTGCATGCACACGTATAAAAATTGCGGTTTTTATCCAACACAATCATAGGTTTGAACGTTGTTTTCAATTTAGACTTGATTATATATATATATTATATGTTATTTAGTTTTTGATTTCCTTGTAAGGATTATTCTGAATAAAAAGCAACCAACAATCAATCATCCTTGTAAGGAGTAAGTTTATGGCCTTATTTTCATGCTCTAGTCAGAACTATAGTACATTTGGTAAATATTTGATAAAGTGACTATGTTTTTAGCTGTTTAGTGAACACTAGTGGGCACATATATAAAACTAAGAAGATGTGGTATGATTGCCAATGAGACAACTTTCTACCAATTACCAAATGTCATAGAAGTTAGTTTTGAAAGGTCACCATACAACCTTCAACAATGATGAAAACCCAAATCACACAGCAAGCTGTAAAATATAGTAGTCTGTCAAAATATGGCGGGGCAAACATATTTTTTTGGGGGGATTTGTAGGAATCAGTCTGTCTGTCTGAATATAATCCACATGCAACAATTTGAAGGGGAGATAATTCATATTTAAATATACTGATAGTATTGTGAGGGGGTGAGGTATCATTTGTTAGTCTACTTATAGTTCTTGTTTATTTTTAAATCATGTCAAAATTTGACATGGGATTAGATAAGTTAATCTGAATTTTTACCAACTTCCTTAATGAAATCATGTCATATGTATAAAACAGATGTACAGGATATTGTTTTTAAGTCTGTATTTGACAAAAAGCTTCAAATAGATGAAAAAAATAGTTTTTTTTATAAAGTTCAATTCCATTTGTATGTGTAGAAGGAGTTGTTGGGTAATTTTGCACCGCCATTTTGAATCTGTGTCTGCTTGGGATACAGAAATCAAGCTTTACGCCTATATACTTATACATATATAAATATACTCCACTGTACTTCTTGGTAGATTTCATACAGAAATTTAATGTAAAGTGCAGAAAATCATGATCATGTTCAATGTCCCATGTAAATATAATTCAGAATACAGAAATCACTTCTTTTTGATGCAACATCATTGACATTATCTGGACATCACCTATAGATAGGTTTCGATTGACATAATTTGTGCAAGAGTTACTGCCCTTTTGTCGCCATGTTGGAGGTCTAAGTTCACAAATTCCTTCACAAACTAGCCAAATTAAAATTGTTTTACTGATTGCTAGAATTTAGAAAAAAATATTTTCTGAACAATTTTCATTTCTTTTAGCCATGTTAGCCTTTCATGATCTAGTATGAATTTTTTGTCCTCCAAAATGGCAGCCAAGGGAAATAAATCAAATCAAATTATGTCATATCAAAACTTATCTATTGTTTTATGACATCAAAGGAGAGAAAATAATGGGACATATTTCACAATTTAGGTAGTAGTCTCTCTAAGAATCATGCAAAATGTATAAATAGTGGCCCACTCATTATCACAGAATGACTTAAAAAGTGCTGTCAAATATCAAAAAAGGATGTATTTATTTCATTAAATCCAGTTCTACCAACAGTTAAATTTCAGTATGAAATTACAGTATTTATTGCAACCAACATAGTCAAATGTTTTATTTACAGGTTAAAATCTTAAGTCTGTGGTAAATTTGATTTTAAGATCCAGGAAACAAATTCATCCTCTAAAGTGTTTCAAGTAGTTAAAACATTTTGTACTTGAAACCTTATCTAATCACTACTAAAATTTTCCAGTATTTTTATGTCTGTTGTGTCCACGTTCTGTCAGGAAACATTTGTAGTTTTGGTAAAAGGCATTCTTGAAGTACTGTATATATTTAATGAAAAACTGTATTTTTTGCAAAAAATTATTGTATGTGCATTCATTTTCAAGATTTAATGCCTGATCTGAAAGAGAATGTTGTTTCTGAATTGTAAAATTGTCTTCATTAAATGTTAGTTTTAAGGATATTTTATCCAGAAAAAATGAATTGAAATTGGCATGCCAGTTGGGCAATAGACTCAGTCTTTGTAAGCCTGTATAAGCCCCTCCACAAACATTGTTTTTACCTATGGTCCAAACGAGAATTAAAATTTTACTTGTCAAATATCTTTTATATTTTGACTAGAGATTTACATGTATAAAACTTAATAGATTTTAAAAGTCCTTAAGG